CTATTAAAAATGGCTAAAAACACTAAAAATCTAAAAATTTCATGGGAAATCTGGGTCCAGTGAGTCAGCTGATGCCTGCTCCTTGCCCAAATAACTGATTTCAGGAAAATATAAGCCCTTACAGCCTATCTGGACCCCCTCCTCAAATGGGTGCAGGGCACAGCACAGTAATAGGGCTTTCCTATGTTAATATATGGGAATTATGTCAAAACAACGTGGTCAACATTCATATACCTGAGTTTTAGACCTTGAAGAACATACATTGGCAGGGTAGGCCAACCTCTCAAGTCTCCATCCCCAAAAAATGACAAAATCCTACGCACCTAAACCATGCGAGAATTCTACCCAAACATTGAAAAGTGACCCCTGACCTCTCTGGACAGCTGATGACCGCATGTAAACCTATATCTTCTTCAGCCAGCCAGACAACACAAACATGGCTGCAAGTCTGTTTTTTCACCAAAATTAAAATACTACAACCCTTACCTATAACATCCAAGTCCAAAACAACAACATTTCCCTAGAAAAAGACTTCTTTACACTCTACATTACATTGCCATCTCTATATACTAAAACTGGGCCCTCTGCGCCTGCGCTATTACTAACCTTTGCCCTGGACACTGAGTAACATGCTCAGATGGGGGCTTGCATGCCCTTTTCTGTAGAGCGTAATCGGCCGTTTTAATCCTACATAGAGCGTACACGGACTGCTCTAATTCAACGTAGAGCGCAATTGGCGCATTTTGCGTAATTCGCTGTTTTACTTCTACGTAATGCTTTGTAGCTTCCCGGAATTTATCCTAAAACGTAATGGGGAGGCTTCCTGAATTCAGCGTAATACGTAGCCGGCTCTCAAAATGTAGCGTAGAGTGTTGTCAGGACCCCCCCATGCAGGCCCTCTCAGATTAGATCTCAGAGGTCCAGCCCAGCCATGTCTGAGTCATCCTCCTACAGTTGGTGGTGACATTTGGCTTGTCTCTACTCCACCACACCCAAAGTACTAAAATCAGGTCCAGATTGTCCATACACAGCACTGTGGAGACAACACTGTCCTTGGCTTAGATCCTAAAATTATCTTCAGCCTGTTTCCATAGATTATTATGTCAACATCCCCAGTTCCTGCAGTGGGTATGCCATAACAGGGCTCGAAATAATAGTTACACTGGTATATCCAACTTAAAAAATTGGGTGCACAAAATGTCTAAGGGTGCACCAAGATAGGAAGAATGTCAGCAAAAAATTGATCATGTTTCATTTCTGAAGATGATTTTATCATTTTTCTGACATAGAGGTCTAGTTGTTAAGAATATGCTGTATACTACTAAACATTTAACATCTTTCCAAACCTACAAAAATATTTGGGTGCACTGGTGCATCCGCTGAAAAAAGATTTGGTGCACAGCTCCGAATTTCGGAATACTAGTATTAAAGGTGCACATTTCCAGCCCTGCATAATTCCCATGTCTCTTGTTTCTCAGATACACCAACATACCACACTGTGTTTTCTTCCTTCCCTTTCTCCTAATTAGTGGACCATACATATGTAGGAGGCCTGGGCTGAGGTAACCTGCACTGAACTGCACTGACCTGGAGAATTCACACCATGATTCGGACCAAGGAAAAGGTAAACAAACCAAGGACTTTATCCCCACAGGGACATTCTGGGCAGTGGACAGTACAGTACTGGTCAGCCTGGTCATCATTACATTAAAGTACATTTGAAAGGTCAATGACCTCAGTCACATTGACCAACTGACATTTCAATATTGGAAAAATCCATTCTTACTTTGGTACCTGCTACATACTACATAGTGACTACATGTACATTCTTGTACTGAAAATGAAAACACATTTCGCTTGGACAACTAACATTGACCAGAGGAGGTAAAACTAAAAAAGAGCAAAATACCTTTCAATGTTTATACTGTCTTAAATAAGCATACATGTATTAGATTAGAAATTCAAATGTCCTCATTACTAGTGGCTGTTGCCACTAGACAATACAAACGACATCACTGTCTGACAAATAAAATACATCTGAGTCATTCTGACTATAATAAATGAATGCTAAAGCAAAAAAAAAAGAAAAAGTGTTCTATTCATAGCTTGTTTTGTTTGATAATGATGATTTATAAAGATGACCCATTTCATAACAGAGTCTTTGGATAATACAAATGTAACACAGTATATTTCAATAGGTTGACCACTATACAAAATCACCAAGTACGTACTACCGGTAACCTTCAGAAGTTTTGCATGTTGACCTAGTTCCAGCACCACCTATTCGAATATGCCACCAGGCCTAAATCATGAATATTGTTCTGCTATGCTCATGCATAACATCATAGGAAATTGAGTTAATTTCATGCTGCAACCTGAGTCCCTCAACCTTACAAAATTGTCCAACAAATAATGAATCACATTATAAAAAGTGAGAACTCCTGGCATGATGATATAGCCTAAAATTAGCCTCCACAGCATGCCAAAAACTGGGAGTTTTGGGGGTCTTCATGGTCTTTGGGAGATTTTATGTGCTATTTTCTGATTGCATACTTCGCCGGCTTGGTTGAATTACCTCCGATTTTTAGAACTGGGCTGATCAGAAAACAGCCGAAGACCACCAAACCCCCAGTTCTATAACTATAAGCCTGCTACGGAGGCTAGTGAAACTCAAGGTATTGTGTTGCACCTTCATAGAGTAGCCCTTGCTACCTGGGGAGCCAAACAAAGGACCTTTTCTACAGTTTACCTGTCTCAGCCCCAGGCCAGGAGTCGTTACCCCATAGCAATGCAAAATCCAATCATTCCACACCTATACATCATGTTCCTCTTTGACAGGAAGACTGGCTACGGGCAATCCACTATTTCAGCTTTCTCCTAGTCCTAAATCCCACAGTTTTCAATCTCCCATTTGAGACCCATTTGTTTCCCTTGTATTGACAAAACAGGTATAATGTTGGTCTTATGGTGCTTTGAACTAATGCTACTGTTAGTCCGTCTGGGACATATTGTACACTGAGAGAAGCGTGGATTTGTACCTAAACATGATTATTATTACTATTACTGCCCATAGAATCGCAATGGTATTTCTCAGAAGAAGAACTGTTCCTTTTTTGAGAAAACATAATGTTTTATTGAGGTAAATGTAAACCGGCTGAAATTATGCTTCTGCAGTCAGCCAGAAAATTGAAAACTATATACTGTACTTACTAGTCAATGCAACCCTGGCCCAAAAATTAGTTTACATGAACCCAGATCAAACAAACTACTAGTATCAAATCCAGTCAAACCAGTACTTTAAAAAGGGATCATATACACTGCATACATGTCATTATTATGGACGAATGGTCCTCCAACGTAATATGATGTATGGTACTATGGTGGTACTGTTGCTACCGTAGTAAGGTAATGATTATTAGTCTGCCATTGGTTGCTGGTGCGTATACTTGTGACATTTGCGAAGCATACAGTATATGTCTGTTGTCGGTCAAATGGTAGATGTCTGCTAGTATTTTACTATCATGAATACATGCATATCCAAAAGTGTCATGAATTTGTAGGAGAAATCAAGAATTATGGTATTGTTTATTTTTTTCAAATCCATAACCATTTTAGCAGGTAGAAATTATTGTTAATCTGTAAAACCAGGGATGGCAAAAATTTAACGAAGTCGTTCAGATATTCTTGGTTTGGTTGGTTGGTTTGGGAAAGGTGTTTTTCCTCTGGTGTAGATTTCTGACATAACTGTGCCAGTGTAAACTATTGTTTACGTAAGAAGCTGGCTTTACTGAAATATGCTCAGGTCACCAGATATAAACTACAAGTCACAGCCTGCATGGAAAAACGATTACTTTTCACCATAAACAGCGTGGCATGTGAAGTTTTACAGTTTTCAGGAAGATTTCGGAGACAAGGGTGGGGATGTACTTACTAGGCTTGGCTGCTCTGGCCTTGGCTACTAGCCTCTGCATCGTCACCACGTCCTGGTTTTTGGCGGCCTGCAAAAGTTCCTGATCTTTTCCCATGGTTGCTGCGGCTCTTCGCTCCAACTTTACCCAATTCCCTTCGCTCTTGGACGCTCCAACGTTGGAGAAAGGTTTACGAAACGTTCCAGATGTGCGGGATCGTTCCCAGCTGTACCGTGGATAACGGTGCCCTTTTGAGTTCCACTCTCGCAGAAAAACGTCAACAAAAAACTTTTTTCCCGTCCACGTCCGGTCCCGAGGACACCGGAAGATGTGACCAAAAACCCAGATGAAGTTTCAATCCTCTGTTGTTCGACTGCGCTGACTCAAAGCATTAGGAACACTCCTGTTTTCCTAACAGAAAGGCAAGCGTACGAGGAACTGGTAAACGAAACACGGAGAAGCAAAACTTCACGTTGCCCCCCTCCCCCACTCGGAAGACACAAAAAGGCAGCAGCTGTCGCAAATGACGATCATACAGGCAGCGCTTACTTTGATTTCTGTCCCAGACGACTGTCCTCGAGTATCGATCGAGAGATAAATCCACACGGACGCCTTGGTTGGAGCTCCAGGTAGCCGCCAAGCCCCGCGCGGTGTCACATCGCGGAGTTAACACGCAGGCAAAATAAATTTTCTACGGCGAAGGGCAAAGGGAAAACACTTTCTACCGTCCGACTCTCCCGGGGACTGTGCTGATTTCCAAGACCCCATACACACTAAATAATGCACTGCCTAATTAGACACACACCATTACCGTCCAAAGTAGCACCTCTTATTACTGTGGCATTTATTGATCCTAACTAAAGTGAAACAGTATTATGAGTCACAAGTTAGCGTATGAAGCTTATGGAAGTCTTTACTTTTTATCAAATATTGAGTATAGTTTATGCTCAGGATAGGATCTGCTTGTGTATTGGGTCTTGGCAACCCACCAAAACTGCGCATGTGTACAAATTTCGCTCCAAATATTTTCACCAATAGGGAACTCTGTTACATAATGAGAAGTCATATTGGACCAATCACAGAGCGTGTAATGTTCTCCCTGCAGACGTCCCGGAGAGTGACATCAGAAGACGTCGGCTGCTGCAGAAATAATAGTAATTTTCCAAGTTTTCCGGCATAATTCGCTGTAAAAATAGCTTGTGCAAGCTTGCCAGGCGTTCTCACAAGAGGCAGAATGATCGTGCATGAACTGTCGTAGCCTGTGCATTTCCAAACAAGCTACGATCTGCCTGCGATGTCTTTGGCATGTCGTGTTTTATCGGCTAGTGGGAGGGCGAGCTTGCTGAAATTTTGTAAAATCAGCGGAATTTCTTCTATTTCTGCCTACAACAGACTTGACATCCCTTTTGCCAGTCATAATAAGTTCATACACAGGTAGGTTAAGTTGATGTATGCAGTGAAATGTTGCCAGTCTCTTGCACGATACATTTTAACATTTTTGTGAGAATATCTTACTTTGTCATTTTTTTGTTTGGGGTCAAAGGTTTCTTGGAGATGCTATTATAATTGAGGGGGTGATGTGTGTTTTTTTTTTGCACAAAAATTAAATTTTTTTTCAAAAGTATTTAAACGTGTTAACACACAAATAAAAGGTATTCTTTTGGTGCATTCATAGTTAGGATCCTACAAAATAATTGCGAGTGCACAGTGGACATTTCAGTTTGAATGAAAATGTGAATAGAGATAATTATGATGATGAATATACATGTAATGTTATTATGTATAAACGGGCAAAAATCAGGTATACTAGTATGAGGCTTTGAGGACTCTTAATTATGTTCCTTTCAGCTAGACAGTCAGCTTTTAAATAAGTCACAGGCGTATATAGAATCAAGGACGTTATATAGAGAATATATAACGTTAATGTCCTTGCTAGAATACAGGCATTCTCAGATTAACAGATGCAGGCCCATGTTTTATTCAGTGCCACCTTGTGCCAATCATTTATTTCCATTTATCACAAATATCATAGCAGATGCATGACTGTTCAAATTTGCCTTTTATTCTACTGGATCAGATAAGATGTTCTGATCCAGAAAAGCTTCTTCAAATCCACTTATTATAACAGTTAACAGTCGCTGTCCCCTGTGCATACTTACCTTGACTGACATAATTCCAACAGTGTCAACAATACAAGTGGTGTGGCAGGCAGATTTGCAGCAGATTGTACCATAACCACAAATACTTCCGTTAAAATTCCAGGGGGATTCCATGATTTCCCTTGAGAGCAGTATAAAAGTGTTCCATGCAAAGTGTTGAAATACGGTATGTGGATATAAATGGGTACGAATCTGTTTGAAAAGACTGCGATTTATATATAAAGAGCACCATGTTGAAATAGTAGAAATAATATATTATATGATATACACATGCCTAGAATGTGAGGTTTTTTTTTTCTTTTTTTAATGGTTTGGTATCATGAAAAGGAAACAGTAGTAAACATATTTGTGTTATTGACTTGAAATTTATTATCCTTGGTCTGACAGTCCAATTTCCTTATAAATGTGCTTTGGAAATAAAAGTATAACAGATTGGTCTCAATGGCACATTTAATAGCCATGGGTGTTGAAAATTGCTATGGAACTCTAGACATGTATTTGGTATTTAGACACCAAAATGTACTTTTAAGTAACAAGCGAATTGACATATTTTTCTCTATTTAGCCGTGTTAGAAATACCCATCTGCAGTCTGCATTTTGCAGAGACATTTTCAATATTGCAGAAGAAAAATTAAGCAACCTGCAATTGTGCAGACTGAAAAAATCAGGCGTTCAATGGTGTTTAAGAGCTTTTGTGTTTATTACTGACTCATAATAATATACAAGTAGTTTTGCATGTATTTTTCAAATTGCATGTAAAATGTTTACCAACATGCAATTTTGTATGTGCCATGGGTTTAGATCCGAACTTTTAAGGGTGTATTTGCAGAAAGTATGTCTGAATTGCAGAACAAAATTTTGACATTCTGTAATATCGCAGAACACTGAAAAAAAAAGTATTACGATATACAAGGTTAATACATGCCTATATCACTGATTCAGGCTGTTGTTCACCCCTGTCATAAAGTGATCATTTCCTCATTGCTCTTATAAATTGTATCAGGAATTTCTGTAATTGGATATGATTGTCAGAGGAAATTTTAGATGGAAAGTAAACAGGGTGACGTCATGTTGTCCCTGGTATCTAAACGGGTCTAAGGCCATTACACATTTTTATAGCGCTGTTTTGACATATATACGGTGTAAAATTAGTACAATCATTTTCTATATTTAAATCTGACGTGTTGCAATACCAGTCAGTAGTGCATATGCCTCTTGTATGGCCAGTTTTGGTAAGTCTATGAATATTGTTGTATCGTAGAATGTGATTTCAGTGTTAGAAATACCCATCTGCAGTCTGCATTTTGCAGAGACATTTTCAATATTGCAGAAGAAAAATTATGTAACCTGCAATTTTGCAGACTGAAAAGAATCAGGATAGGGGTTCAATGGTGTTTCAGAGCTTTTTTTGTTTTCTACTGACTCTATAATATACAAGTGCAAATGTTTTGCATGTATTTTTCAAATTGCATGTAAAATCACATCTTTGCCAATATGCAGTTTTGTATTTGCCATGGGTTTAAATCCATACTTTTAGTGTGTATTTGCAGAAAGTATTTCCGAATTGCAGAACAAAATTTTGACATTCTACAATATTGCAGAACACTGAAAAAAGTAATTCTACCACTGGACTATATAAGGTTACTGGTAATAAAGAAGAAAAAGCATGTAGCAGTGTGATGAGGTACATATGGAGAATGAATTATAATGTTTGGCATCACAGCAAATGCCTCCCTAGAGTGGAGTTTGTTTAACTGGAATGATGATGAATTTGCCATTAAGATTGTTTTCCAAGATTACAAATTCCAAACAGAATACAGTTACTCTGCTACATTGCACTTTCTAGACTAAAAAAATGTGAATTTCCTGTTCTTGAAGTCAAATGTAAACAATTGAAGTACAGTACATGTATGCATAGTTGAATGATGTACTGCTGATTATGTTTATAGAAGGAAAACGTTATTTTTGCTCAGTTTTCTCCTCTCCAAACACAAAAGGTCAATGACCTGAACCAGACTGTCTGTTACCATGGTAACTGGAGTTGGGTTACATCATGTTGCAATTTTATAGCAGGAGGGATTTAGACTCCTGTCACCATATATGTGAATGTGTTTGAGTAAGAATTAACAGAGTAGACCATATGTGAAGGTAAACAGTATGTATTTGCTTTGTAAATGTTACCTTTCTAGGTTTGTAAAATTAATACAAAAACTGGGTATGATATGATTCATAATTCAACCATACTGTTCTGTCTGAGTATATGATCTCCTTTTTAGATCATGAAATCAAAATTATTAAGTACCCATTATTGCACAACTTAAGTCAAGTAACAGTCATTGTAATGGTGACCATATATGACAGAAATGCATAAAAATCACAGTTGTTTTGTATTACAAATCATTTTAATTAAAAAATCATCACTTCAATTGAATTCAGTACTCAGCAATAAAAATAAATGGAGTGGACAAATAATTGATTGCCAATGTACATCAGCATAAAATATGTATGAATATGTTTTTCCTCAGGGAATTTATGTGGAAAATATAAATTTTTGAATACCTCATAAAACCACAATGTAATCAAAACAAAGCATTTGACCAAATCAGAGATCTAACAAAACATCCAACTAGTATATTTATGTTAAAGAGTGAAATTGATAATCTCAATTCTATTTCCATAACATGTATATATATATATATAAACACAATATAATTTGTATATTGTGATAAATTTGTTAGTATATATGGCAAACAATAATAAATTATACAATGCAAAATGAATTTGTTAGCTGGACTAAAAATTTCAAAGAGAGCCAAGTATTTCTTGAACTAATGAAAACTAAGAATTACACAATGGAATGAAAAATTGAGGTTATTACTATTAATATTAGTAGTTGATAACATTAGAGATTTATCAAGAGAAGGCCAGGTATTTTATAATAGGAGTCTAAAATTTTAGACCATGAATTTCAGATTCACCCATCCCTAGTAGGTTTCAAGACAAATGCAGTATTCTGTATGAAAATTGATAAACCTATATACATGTATATTGAATGACGACCCTTATTGCACATTTTTGCCACACTGGGCTAAGTACATGTACAGGTCACACATGTACAAAATAAAATTATCATTACATAAATTCAATTTCTCGCTTTTCAGTTATAGTAGAGATAAAGAAACAGAGACAGATGGAAGACTCCGCATATGGGGATTATATATTTGGCAAGGTACATGCATGCCATGTGCATGATCTATCACATATCAAAACACTACTCCTCAATGTGACATTACATCAGTATCAGTTTATACCATCATCTTTCCATTTGGTCTCCTATGTTTCACACAGTAACACCCAGACTTGTCTGGCAGCAGTGAGGACCATGGCTACAGGCGGGGCGTCCAGTTCTGGCTCCAGGAGGGGAGGGAAGCACAAGAACAGGCTGGCTGAGGAGAAGTCTCCTTACCTGCTACAGCACTGCCACAACCCTGTGGACTGGTAAGTAAAAAGAACAGTTACTCAAGCAACTGGATATGATTTGAGCGTGTTCAAGGGCAGGCTTGCCGCATCATCTTGGGAACCACCTACACAGGATATGACAACGCACTACAACACCTCGGATTGTCATCACTTGCCGAGAGAAGAGAACTGTTGTGTGTGAAGTTCGCTAGGACACTTGTGAGGTCAGAGTACAGAGACTGCTACCTCCACAGAGATCACAAATAACTGGCCGTAGTACTAGAAACAGCGAGATGCTAGACTGTCCGAGAGCAAGAACGAATAGATATATATAATAAGAACTCGCCTATACCGTTTATGGTCCAGCTCCTCAATAACTATGGACTGAACCCCTGACTGTTGTCTTTTAAAATGTAGTACACCGTTCTGTATCAAATGTTGTCCGGGAAATTTATAATGTATGAAACAAGTATTTTTATTGGTTTGTTAATCATACGCCTATATTGATTGAGAACCTGTAGTTTTAATATATTAATGTTCTGTAAATTGCTACTCTAGAACCAATAAATCCATCTTGAATCCTTGAATCTTGAAATTGAATTTGGGAAATGGTCAGACTTTCAGTAGCATTCCTTCCGTCAGTGACACTTGAGACTTGTCAGAAGGCCACACTGTGACAGTATATCTGTTAGTCCATCTAGTAAGTCTGCATTGTATAATATATTATCATATAAGCACGAACTATGATTCTGATGATGACAAGTTTCCGATGTCACTGACGAAAGGTAGTGGATGCTACCTGAAACGTCTGACCGTTCCCAAAATCATATCCAGTTGCTTGAGTAACTATTTTTTGGTGTATATTGTTACCTGGATGTCTAACCTTTACCAAGGCGGTGAGTATGTGCTAGGCAAGACCAGTGAAGTTTAGGCCATGTGGGTAGAGTGTTCGCCTTGCATTCAGTAGGTCATGGGCTCAATCCTCGTATGTGTCAGACCAAAGTACATACATGTTATAATAGTAACATCTACATTTGACTATCAACAGTCACTGATTACTGAAAAAAAACACTCTTTCAGGTACCCATGGGGAGAAGATGCCTTCAAGAAGGCAAAGAAAGAGAACAAGCCTATTTTCCTGTCAGGTGAGTTTGTCCAACGTAGTGAAAGCTAATACCCAATCCAATCTACCACCACTCTGCCTACAATACCTCAGTTAGTATCAATAGCTGCTCCATTTTTGTTCCAGATGAGTGGCAAAAAAGTTTCCTTCTCTGGGAGGATGAGAAAATTTAAGCTAGAGGATACTGTAATTCACATTATGTTCAGGGTAGCAAAAGTTCATGGTGTGTGAAAAATGGAGGTGTTCACGGAACTATGTTAACAGTGGCAGCAATTGCACAAAAAAGAATGTCTACGAATTATTCGTTAATGGTAAATATAAGTTTTCAGTAAAAGAGTGACTGAAAAAATGCAAACATAAAAGTCAGGAATTATAGATGAAGTAATATTTCATCTCCAGCATCTTAGTTGTGTTTCCTGGTATTCTATGTTGTTGCTCTAGTGGGTTACTCCACGTGCCACTGGTGCCATGTGATGGAGAGGGAGTCCTTTGAGAGTGAGGAGGTGGGGAAGATCATGAACGAACACTTCGTAAACGTCAAGGTGGACCGTGAAGAGAGACCTGATGTGGACAAGGTCTACATGTCCTTTATACAGGTATGAACAACACCATTTCTGTCATGATTTTGCATCATAATGTTAACCTTGGCTTCGCAGATTGAAGAAAATTTTTTTCTATGTTTCTTCTTCCTCTTCTTTGTCTTTTCTTCTTCCTCTTCTTCGTCCCCATTTTATTCTCCAAACAAATAAAGTCAATGACCAGGACCAGACGTCTGTCAGATCATCATGGTAACTGGTGCTGTAGCAGACACCCTGTGGTGTTGGGTTACATTATGTAGCAGGACAGAGCTGGAGGGGCTGCTTAACATATATCTTTTTGTGCTGGATCAAAAGTTTTAACTTTAAACATGTAACTACCAACACAGATGAACTTTCATGATAGTATATCTGAATGTGTTTGAGTAACAATAAGTAGAGAAGTAGTTTGTTAGACAATGAGAAAGTAAACATCAGTCATTTATTTTGCAAATGTTACCTTCTAGTGTTTAAAAAGTTTTGTCTTTAAATTTTGAAACAAAGTGCTTCAAAGAAATGCTAATGGAGTGAAAACCCTAGACATTTGTTTAAAGGTAAAACTTTTGTTCCAACACGAAGGTTCTTGCCGGTATAGTTGTCAACCAGTCACTCTGGTCTTCCTCAATAGACTGACCCAGTGAGACTTGTCACCTGGCTTCTCTGAAGTGTGACGTCAACACTAGTGGTTTAGGGGTAATCTAGGTATTTTATGTTAATGTTACTACCCCCCTCTAGGCCACCAGTGGAGGCGGTGGATGGCCCATGAGCGTATGGCTGACCCCTGACCTGAAGCCCATCGCGGGTGGAACGTACTTCCCGCCTAAGGACCACATGGGACGACCAGGATTCAGCACCATCCTCACCAGAATTTCTGAACAAGTATTTTTCTCTCCTAGATCTTTTTTCGTCAACGTTTAGTTTATACATTAACCTACCATTGATATTTCACAATTACTGTCAATGTTTAGTTTATATATCAACCTACTAGTATTAATATTTCATAATTTAGTTGTCAGGAAAGAGATCAAATATCATGTACTCAATAATGTATGATCATTCTACATGTTTGCTTGGCTCTGATTTTAGGTTTACAGTTTAGAATGTAACATGTAACACTGTTTCAAAATAATATTCCATTGGGCAAGTTGGAGACAATTGTCAAAGAAAGAAAGTATATTGTATAGGCCATGATACGTCGATGAAGGTTAGACATCCAGGTACAATCACATGTAATAAGATACGCCAAAAAGCATTTACTCCAGCAAGGAGCCATTGCATTTCTCCTCTGGTCTCTCAGTCACTGACGAAAGCTAGTGGATACTAGCTGAAACATCTGACTGTTTCCAAAATCATGTCCAGTTGCTTGAGTAAGTGCTTTTTGGCGTGTATAGGCCATGATTGTAGAATTTCGGGGGTGTGGAAATGTTTTATTTCATGGCCAAAATTCACACTTTGTAGCCGGAAGTTACACCATTTCCTCTCCATGATTTCAGTGGAAGAACAACAAGGACAAGTTGATCCAGCAGGGGAACATGGTGATTGATGCACTGAAGGAGCTGTCTGCCTCTGCCGTGGACAGCTCAGCCACTCTACCTGGCCAGGAGAGTGTCAGGAAATGTCTGGACCAACTGGAGAACTCGTACGATGAGGAGTTTGGAGGATTTGGGCATGCACCAAAGTTCCCTCAGCCTGGTAGGTGCCTGAATGGTCTTGTATCATGATTGAGTATTTTAGAAAATATCACTTTTTAGGAAAAAACATTGGGTTTGTCCTGTGGGTACAGTCAAACCTGCCAAGGTGACCACCTCTTCAAGCTGGCCACCTGTCCATGGTGACCGCTTTTTCTCGGTCCCAAAAAATTTCCCCATTGACACATGCATTAAGTAACCTGTCCAAGGTGACCACCTGGCCAACGCGACCGCCCTGAGTTGGGTCTGCTCAAGGCCTGATACCTGCCCATGGTGACCACATCATTTTTACCTCCATGAAATGTGTCATGGAGGTTATATTTTCAGTTGCGTTTATCTGTCCGTCCGTCCGTCTGTCCGTCTGTTGGTCAACAAGATAACTCAAGAACGCCTGAATGGATTGGTTTCATACTCGGTGTGTTGGTAGGGTGTGACGAAAACTGGAAATGATTAGATTTTGGGCCCCCTAGTGGCTTCCCTTGGTACTGCAGCGCAACTTCCGGTTTTGATATCTCGCGATTTGGACATGCTAGGGTCATGATATTTGGATGGAAGGTAGCTCTTGTCCTCGGGAAGAAGTCACGTGAGTTTGGTCCCCCTAGCGGCTTGTTCTGGAACTGCAGGGTGGTTTCTTTGAAAATCTTCGAGAGAGGATAACTGAACAACCGTTTGATGGATCATCATGATTTTTGGTATGTAGGTAGCTTAAGTGATGCTTGACATAATCAAAATATAATTATGCAAATCAGGGTCTAATTTGCATAATTAATGAGGAAATTCTATAAATCAGCTGTATTTCATATTAGGGCTATAAAACTCTATATACATAATTCTTATATTACATATGTTAGTGAGAACGACAAGATCATTGGCAGATATCGATTATGTAAAGGAAGACCTAATTTGCATAATAAATGGCAAATTGGTACAATTTTATGGTGGTAACTGCTGGGAATTTAATACTTGCCATAATTGGAAGTTCAGTGAAGGTGAACATCACTAAACATAATTTATTTCAATCAGGACCTCATTTGCATAATTTATGAGGAAATGCTAGAATAGCCTTATTTCTTAAGATAACCCTGTCATTTGGTGGAGAGTATGATCAATTGATACAATATATGCAAATGGCCTCATATAATTTGAATATATGCGGTGAAAAATGTAAGCCAATTACAGGTGGTCATCACCATGCGTAAGATTTATGAAAGCAATACACATGTCATGGAGGTATGAGACCATCGAACTCTAGTTGATCATGTTGATTATTGATGATAACTAATGAGAAATCATGGAGAAACCAGCCAGTTTGCCTCGACTGCTGGATGATGTCTTTGTTTTGGATGCTTACAGCATTTTTGACATTAAAACATCTCAACTTGAAAACCTTACTTAATAGTCATGTTGTGAGGCGACCCTTTTCAAGAAGACCACCTGTCCAAGGTGGCCACTTTTCTTTGGTCCCCTGGGTGGCTGGCTTGGTCATGTTTGACTGTATCTCAAGGCTAGTTGTTACAGTCACATACAAGCACACAATTTATATTTTGTAAGGTAACTTTGATACTGCAATGTTAGTTAAAATCTACAAGACATTTTATCTATCTAGAGTTTCCTGTATTTTAACTACATCTTCTCTCATATGTTTTGCAGTGAATTTTAACTTCCTGTTCAGAGTATGGTCCAGTATGAAAGGTGCCCCAGAGGCTCAGAGGGCCCTGGACATGGCAGTGGAAACTCTCAGGTTCATGGCTAAGGGAGGCATGTATGACCACATTGGACAGGTGGGTATGCTTCGGCCCTTCTTATACAGACTTACAGACCATTCATTTAAAGATTCATTCTAATTTCTACAGATAAGGCCTAGGAAAAAAATGTTGTTTCCCATTTCCCGACTGACCCTAGAAAAAACCGACTGACCCTAGACTGACCCTGCCGACCTAAGCCCTTTTTTGTGAGTTTGGACCCCTGTCTTCATCAACTAGTGGGGTTGTGTGGCGTATACGGTAGCAGGTTCAGCTCAGAACCAAGAGATTCCTGGTTTGAATCCTACCCATGTCACCGATCTTGTGTCCCTGGGAAAGGCACAAATTTCCTCACTTCACTCAGGTGGAAATGAGTACCTAGCTTCGGTTAGGGACGTCCCTCGGATAGGACGTTCAATGTAGGTCCCGTGTTTGGCTGAGCCACACGTTAAAGAACCCACCGTAGGGTTCCTTCCCGGTGTGAGTGGTTCAAACCTTACAGTCCAGTCTTACGCAGCTTGTACTTACATGTACAAAATTGGTGTGGTACGCCTGTTTACCAGTTATGCGAAACAAACAAACAAACTTGTTTATCCCACCAGGGTTTCCATCGTTACTCCACTGACCGCACCTGGCACGTCCCACACTTTGAGAAGATGCTGTACGACCAGGGCCAGCTGGCTGTGGCGTACTGCGATGCCTACCAGATCACCAAGGACCCCTTCTTTGCTGACATCGCTCGAGACATCCTTCTGTACGTGTCCAGGGACCTCAGCGATAGGGTGTGGTGATAATCTTCTTAAAACATTTCTGTATTATTATTATTATTATGTTAAGGAAAGGAAAACATATTGTTTTTGCTCAGTTTCTTCCTCTTCTTCTTCTCCAAACAAATAATTAATAAGATCAATGACCTGAACCAGACGTCTGTCACCATGGTAACTAGTGTTGGGTTACATCATGTTGCAATTTTATGGCAGGAGAGATTTAGACTCCTGTCTGACCATATATATGAATGTGTTTGAGTAAGAATATTTAACAGAACAGACCATATGCGAATGTTACCTTAAAGTTTCTAGTTTTGTACTATGTAAAGAAACCTACAGTGGGGGTCACTGGAAGACAGACGTAGAATGTCCAGACTGTGCATGATGTACAAAATGACTAATAAACTGGTGGATGTACCAACCACTAAGTATCTGATACCAGCCCAGAAAAGAACTAGAAACAGTCATGCCTTCTATTCAGAGTTATCAACCAAGAATTGAGGTATTCAAAAACTCGTATTTCCCCAGAACTATCTTAGACTGGAACTCGTTGCCAACAAGCACAGTTGGGGCATCATCACTAGAAAGCTTTAAACAACTCCTGCAAGTAAATGTGCAAAGATTGAGTGTAACAAGTCGTTCGGTGTGATATAGCTAGCTGCCGCCGCGCCGCGTGCCTGTGAAGCTGGTGTGTTATGCCGAAGGGCGGTTATACCAGCTATACCGATACAGAAGCTGGTGTGTTATGCCGAAGGGCGGTTATACCGGCTATACAGATACAGATTTGTTCAATAGTCATTGCCATACATTGAGTAAATCTTACACTCTTGTTGATCTGTATGTTCCCACACAGCAAGGAGGTTTCTACAGTGCAGAGGATGCTGACTCCCTGCCTAGTCCTGGCAGCAAGACCAAGAAGGAGGGAGCCTTCTGTGTGTGGGAGGCTGATGAGATTCGGAACCTCCTGGGCGAGAAACTGCCGCACTACGATGACATGACCTTCGCTGATCTCTTTGCCAAGCATTACAACATCAACAGGAGTGGCAATGTGGCTTTTGACCAGGTGAGGGGAGGGGTCATATACATGTATGACTATTGTAATGTTACTGTTAACAGCATGTTATTAGCAGAATGTGCTGCACCTGCGCAAAACCCATATTATGCATAGCACTTCAGCAGAATGTCTCATATAAGGTCGTATTTGCACATATAGGGTTAACATCCCGTCTGTAGTTTCCAAATGTTACGTCAGAAAAGATGTCGTCTGCAACAGGCAAGATTCTGATGTAACAATGACCAAAAATGGAATGAAAACTGTGAACCTGTAAATGAACCTGTAAATACTCTACACAGCATCTGTCTTCTCTGCCATGACCAGTGTGGGGGATTAGCTCTTCAGTGAGCTAAAACTGGATTAAGATCACTTTTCCTTTTTATACTCAGTGTTAGAAATACCCATCTGTAGACATTTTCAATATTGCAGAAGAAATATTAAGCAACCTGCAATTTTGCAGACTGAATCTGGGTAAGAGTACAATGTTGTCGCATAATATTGTTAAGAACTTTTGTGTTTACAAAGAACTCTATGATATACTAATAATTTTGTATATGCCATGATGGGTTTAGGTCCGGACTTATAGGTGTGTATTTGCAGAAAGTATTTGAATTGCAGAACAAAATTGTGACATTCTGCAGTATTGTAGAACTGCAAAAATTTGTTTCTACCACTGATATTCCAGGACCCACATGGAGAGCTTGCTGGTAAGAATGTCCTGATAGTGCGAGGTTCCATGGAGAACACGGCTAAGGCGTTCGGCCTGGAGGTGTCTCAGGTGGAGGAGGTGCTGGGCAAGTGTCGGGACATCCTGTTTAAGGTGCGGAGGAAGAGACCACCTCCTCACAGGGACGACAAGATGATCACTGCCTGGAATGGTGGGTAAAAACTAGTGCAGTGTACCTATTCGCTGGAACTAGATTCAGACTTGTAAAAATGTTAAAGTTCAAGTCCAAAAAAAAACTAAATGTCTGGAACTAGTTCCAGATTACACAAAAAGAATCATGTCACATTCCCCCTTTTGTTCTAAACCACCTGAAATTTTCAATAGTCCAATATTTGCGCTGCAAAATGAAGAAAACATCGCCATTGGGCATCGTCAAATGTTGGTCCCCATAAATTATGTGGCCACAGTTTTGCCCAGACGTGCCTCGCAAACAATGTATCTTGCTTCTAAACCCTGGTACGTGTAGTGCAGTGCTCGCTACAAAATTTTGCGGTAAAGATACCCCATTCTCCATTAGGAAATGTTCACTGAAAAGTCCTGTATTTTGTATATGCCCTGGGTAAGTCCGGACCTGAACCTAAACCTCTGGACTAGTTTTTGAGTAGAAGTCAATCATGACATCATATAAAAAAACTGTGCTTGTTGCCTAATACTCAATAAATATATGTGAATAGAAACAAGACTGGCAATGAAAACATACATTGTCATGGCGACGGCGGGTGGTTGCTGTTCGAGTTATTGTTTACATGGCACTGCCATCATTTCATGATTTTGAGGAAGACTTGGTACCTGTTAAGTCTAGACACATACAGTGTACTCCTCCCCTGAGTGTATAATGAACAAGCACCAGGGTCACAGAAAGTAGGGCCATCCCAGGCAGAAAGGATTTCCCAATGGTTCCAGGAATGTGGCCATAGAGGTGGGTCAGAGAAATGCCTGTGGACATTCCGCATGCCTGTGGACAAAATGCCTGTACCATTCCTAGAACTCTTGCAAACTGCACACAATACTGTACCATTAGGCTCCTCCCTGAGACGTCGCCAAAAATACAAAATGTATATCTTTTCCCTGTTCCTGCAGGTCTGATGATCTCAGGGTTTGCCCGTGCTGCTCAGGTGTTGGGAGAGGCCCAGTACCTGGACAGGGCCATCAAGGCAGCCAAGTTTGTCAGGAAGAAGATGTACGACGACAGCACGGGAAAACTGCTGCGGAGCTGCTACCACGACCCTGAGATGGACCGCGTCACGCAAATGTGAGTGCCGGCCAATAAGGGAGCCTGTGGTATAGTCCAAAAAGTGTTATTGGGATTTTGACAAATATTTTAGAGGCATCCAATGCAATTTCAGGGTGGCAAAACTCTCGGATTCGCCTTCTTCATTTTTTTATGATTTAATTTGCAAAAAAAAAACATTTCAGGCTCTGAATCAATTCCAAATGCTCATATTTTGGCCACAACAGTGGAAGGAAGTCTCTTCTCCTCAGAGTTATTACATTTTTTCCATCTAAATGTATCAATATAGTGGTTTGATTAAAAGTTTGATATTCATTGTTTGAATCACAACCCAGCCTTTTGTGTTGACTTCATGGCTCCTATTGTAGCATTTGGGGCTATTATAGGATGTCTTGGCCTGTTTTCATTTTTCAATTTTTTTTTTTCCCTGTTGCTTTATATTTGTTTCTGAAAAAATCTAAGAACCAACAAATCTACTTTGTGTAGCCTTAGCTTATGTATTAGTTGCATGGGCAACCGTTCATAGTTTCATCAGGTTGGTAAGTTACTGAGTAAAGACACTCTTTTTACACAACCAAGAGTCTTCTATTCAGCCAATGTTTCTGTGACCGTCTGTCACCTTCCTCAGGGCAATTCTGACTGGTTCACTTTGCACTGCAGTACAGGTGTCTCTGCTATAGATGCATTAGGCAAGTTTGACTGTATTCACTTTTTGTTCTCCAACAGAGCCAACCCAATTGATGGGTTTGCGGATGACTATGCGTTCCTGATCCGTGGCCTGCTGGACCTGTACGAGGCGTCCTATAACGAGGAGTGGGTAGAGTGGGCGGCACAGCTGCAGAGGAAACAGGATGAGCTGTTCTGGGACAGCGAGGGGCTGGCCTACTACACCGTGTCAGGGGATGACCCTTCTGTTCTCATCAGGATGAAGGAAGGTCAGGGACAGGAAATGGGGGGGGACTGAAGGGAGTTTTCACCAGTATGGCATTTATTCATTTATTTCATCATAAGACGGCTGGGTAGCCCCATTCAGCTTACATTAGCTGTTTTCCAAGGGGGCCCAGCAAAATTACACAAGACATTGTTACATACAGTAAGACAAGAGTGGACAACATACAGTAAACATAAAAGTCTGATGCGTCAAAACAGAGTCATAGTCCTATACTCAAAGTCCTAGCCGTTCAATGGTCAAAAACATGAAAATCAAGGAATGGAGGTAAGAGGTCAGGTTTCATGTGACATATGTTTCAAGGCTGCTTTAAACTGAGATAGTGTAGGTACATGTCTTAGGCCTGCTGGAAGTGTATTTGAAAACATTATTTGTTGAATTATATGAAATGTATACTTCTACCATTCATTTATATATTGGTTTGGCTGTTCAACACACACAGCCGTGGCAGCCCATTTAGACTGGTAGTTAGCCCTAATTTTGGAGGTTCCTACCTGAGTTCCAATATCTGTCCTCGGTGCTGAACCAACATCATTTGGGAAACTCAAAGGGCTTGCCCTGCTGACAAGACAAGACATATAATATTAGCAATAACATATAATATGAGCAGCTAAATTCTATGTAGAATTAGAAACATTGTACAAAGCAAACAGCCTGTAATTATTATAAGTATAAAAATATGTTCCATTGTACTTACCTTATCTTAGACCCTAGGTCATCCATCGTGCCATTTCTATCTTTTCATCATGTTTCCATTGTACTTAATGTTGTGAAAAGTGCAATATAAATGTGTCTAAAGAATACTATTTCTTGAGGGCTTACTTGGTCAATATTTTGCTTCCAATTACCAGACCAAGACGGTGCAGAGCCAAGCGCTAATTCTGTGTCGGCCGGAAACCTGTTGAGACTGGCCAGTTTCCATGACGATGAAGGTTGGAGGAACAAGTCCGTACAGCTGATGACGGCGTTTGGAGCCCGGCTGGCAGCCATCCCCCTGGCCCTGCCAGAAATGGTGTCAGCTCTCATCTTCCACCTGCAGACACCCAAACAGGTCAGGCATCCAATTTATTTTAGATTTGGGATAGGCCTGTGTTTAAACTGGAACAACATTCGGGAAGTACAAAAATTCGGGGATTCCAAAAAACCGAAACACAAAAACCGAATCATCGGACCTGATATACATTTCTGTGTATTGTACACACATCCTTAGATAATGTTGCCATGGTAGATAACGTTAAAGAAAATGACCCTGAATCAAACTAGATTGGCCTAAACCCATGATTGTCTCTTTCTGTAACTGTGCTCAGCTTCAATATAACGTTACATTGTACAACTTGAATATAATATATAACACACTAGTGAGTGACCTGTACTTGTGTTTCGTGCTCCAAAATATGATATAATACAAACTTTACAATAATCAGGTACAGGTTTAGGTCCAGACCTGGACTTGATCCTCTGAACCTGATCCGGACCTGGACCTGAATTTTCTACACAGGTACCCACCCCTAGCCTGTGTACCTAAACGTAAGGAACAGGTACAGGTATCAGTACAGAGGTTTAGGTACAGGTCCGGACTTGTACCTGTACCTGAACAGTGCGACATATTAACTTAATGTTCTTCTGAATTGTGGTACTGTACTGGTATGCAGTACTGGTACTTAGTCCTAATGTGGGAGGTTCCTGCCTGAGATCCAACATCTGTCCTTGGTGCTGAACCACCATCATTCGGAAATTCAATTTTTCATTTGAAACCAGAAACTTTTCAGTAAAGGTAGTTTAGTTAAAGAAATGAAGACTACTTTAGATTTACAATATAAGCCTGATATTCAACAATCAATCAATCAATCAATTAATCAATCAATCAATCAATCAATCAATCACACGATGCCAAATATTTCATGAATAAAAATGTTAAGGCACCTTATCCAAACACTACTAAGAAAACCAAGAGAAATTCCTTATCAGTTTTTTTTCCTTTTGCAGATCATCATTGCAGGAAACCCCAGAGATCGTGACACCAAGGCCTTGTTACAGTGTGTTCACAACAGCTTCAACCCCAACAAGATTCTCATAGTCGCTGATGGCAAGGAGCACGGCTACTTGTACGAGAAACTCAAAGTTTTGAGCACGCTAAAAAAAGTTGACGGCAAAGCTACGGCATACGTTTGTGAGAACTATGCCTGTTCTCTTCCTGTTAATACTGTGTTGGAACTGGATGAATTGTTGTCAAAGTGATGCTTGTTAGATTTGTAGGAAACCTGTAAGGCCATGTTGATTTGATTATATGGATGACATCTGTGCACGTATTAATTTTTGGCTGTTTCCAAAACAAAATTTCTTTTTTTTTTTCAATCATACCGTAAATTGTACAATACAGTTGCAAAACAAGAAAATATATCCCGTAAGTTGCCCCCCCCCAAAATATCGGAAAACGATACCAATGTCATAGAATGCCAAAATCAAACAAAAATGTAAAGAAATGAATTTGAAGAGTAGATTATTCATCATACCATACTCTGTTTCATTTGCTCAACCCTCATGACCACGTAGATTTCATGTTGAAAGCAACTTTTTTTTTGGCCAAACTTTCTTTTTATTTGCACTCTCGCATTAGTTTTGGGGTTCCCAGAGGATGTCATCCATAAAATCAAATTAACTTGGCCTAAATTGCTTTTGGGCATCCTTTTTGAATTTGAAGGACGCACAATGTATAGAGCAAGGCAAAGACATGCTGAAGGAACCGCAATGCTTGTTGCTTGCTGGCTGGCTACTTGTAATGCAAATGAATACAAACAGAAACTGTACTCTGAAGCTTTGAGACAAGGTAGTGGAACAAAAAAGTAAATTAGAAGAAAAAGAAAGGTTGGGTAGGAAGATTATTGCTTAATGTTATACAATTCTAAGATCTTTAACTGGTGTAGAATTTGTTCAAAATTAGGTCATTGTTATATTCGGAGTTATTTCTCCATGTTTTGTTGGATTGTTGTCTTCTATGCAAGTAGAATTTTTTGTATGTTCATTTTGAAATGGAATGTGAAAATGTGAATAATGAATGATGAGTAAATGGCATGAATATAACAATGTAAATTATTTTCCCGGAAGTTCTATTTTATGAACTACCTGTCCAGATAGTTCAAGTAATATTTATTTCTACTATGGTTTCCCTTTTATATTGGGAAGGAATGCACTGAACCATTCTCTGTAATGATTGTGAATGGACCTTTTTTCCTGTTTGGTTTTGTGATCTTTATTTCTTGCTTTATCTTCTGTGAAGGTGTCTTTATTTCTTGAGATGGTGGCAGCTCTCTAGTGCTAAGCAAATGACTGAAAACTGAAACAGAAATGCCAGGGAGATGTTAAACAGGATCATAATCCAATATTTATATGTCATATTCCCAATGTAAACACTCTGTTTTAGACTATCATGAAAGTTCATCTGTGTTGGTAGTTACATGTAGAGTTAAAACTTTTGATCCAACACAAAGAAGTTCTCTCACCTAGAGCTTTTGACCAGTTACTCTGGTCTTCCTCAGTAGACTGACCCAGTGAAGCTTGTCACAAAGCTTGTCACGTGCCATCACTGGGTCAAAGGTATCTGGTAGACGATGTTGGCCAGATACCTTTGACCCAGTGTTGATGTCACACTTCAAAGAAGCCATGTGACAAGCCTCACTGGGTCAGTCTACTGACAGAGGAAGACCAGAGTGACTGGTCGAAAGCTCTAGGTGAGAGAACTTCTTTGTGTTGGATCAAAAGTTTTAGCATTAAACAATCTGTTTTAGAAGTTGGAATGCTGAAAAAAATTGATTTGTGTTTATGCTTCCACTTCGTACTTTCTTTGAACTAGTGGTGCTAAAAAAACAACATACATATACTTGTAGTAGTGACTTACATTCTTTGTGTTATAAGCAGTGTACTATATATGTACATTTATACTATGATACCTTCTGAACCAGAGTATCATAGGAAGATATTCAAAAGATATGGACTGGCTAGTCTAACTTCTTGCTACATGTTGTCATTATGTAACATATCCACAATTGTGATGTCTCGAAATATAACCTTTTTTGTAAAAAAAGAAAACCAAATGCCAATTTTCTTCCTTTCATGCAATGCTATTCAATACTAAATATTCCTTGACTATAGAATATACCTTAAATGCACTAGGGATGGGGCTGAGCTGAGAATAATCTATACATACATGTAAAGGTATATAAAAACATAGAAACATGAATACCAATCTTCTTTCTTTCTATCAACCTATAGGAAATGCGAACACGAACATGAGCTAGAAAGGTAACATTTGCAAAGCAAATGCATCATGCTTACCTTCACTGCCGCTTTGTAACACACTCATATATGTGGTGACCAGGCAGCCCCTCTTGAACTCTGTTTGTTTATTATTTGCACAACAGCAATAAAAATTATACATAATAAATTAATAATGAATAAAACAGGTGCAGGAGGAGGGAAAAAAAGCTTATTTAGCTTATGCTAAGCCCTCCTCCTCTATACTAACCAAAACTAAACATAATTGAATTGAAATAAGGCATATACATACATAAGGAATTGTTATCAAAATAATTCAAACAAGGGCAAAATGATACAATAACAATAATGAAACAGTAGTATACATAAATTGAGATGAAATGAAATTGATATGAAATAATACATACATATACATAAGGATGGCAGTTCTGCATGGCACCTGCAACATTATGTAACCCAACTCCAGTTACCATGGTGACAGACGTCTGGTCCTGTTTATTGACCTTATTTGTTTGGAGAAGAAGAGGAAGAAGAAAAAACAATGCATTTCATAATTTGTGACATTTTACACCATTGTGAATTTTATTCACTCACAATACAATGTACATGTACATCATAACAATGTGAATCACAGACGACAAGTTTCAAAAATAGTTTTAAAAGACAACAAGCTATTTACACTTAGTGATGTTGCATGATATTTCCAGCTGGAAGTTTTCAATCCCACAGCCAGATGACATGAACATTAAGAACCTTTGCTTTAACAATTTTTAACAACAATAAGTATTTCCATTTAATATAAAGTTATGAATGCATTCAATGCGTTTTGAAATTCCTGAGTCACTGTATACAGCAATTTTCTACTACTAGTATTAATTTAGTGAAGGACTATTTCAAATGGAAAGGATTTTTAACATCAGCTCGAACATTGCATAGATATGCTTCTTGTTTATTGATTTGTTTATTTGAGTTTACCACAAGTATACAAGTGGAAGGGAGGACAAAACAGGTGCGTTGACACCTTTACAAGTTGTCCTCCCAACACTAAATGTACAATGTAAATACAAAACAGACTACATCAGAATCAACTGTGTGCCAGTTTAAAACTGTTTTATACATTTTGAACATCACTACAACATATCTCTTGCATATGGTTCTACTCGAAAGCATGTATTTTATTTGTTTGCATGTTTTATTGACAGATATTTGTTTTTGTATCCCAGAAAAACAGATTTTGACATGTTTGATGATATTTACGACTTTGTGTTGGTATTGGTCAACTGATCAGTATATGGGACACAGTACATAATGTACATATATTTCTGTAATAGGTCATGTAGTATCTGTATAGTACAGTTTGAACCCTGTTTTCCGTTGTACAATTATAACAGGCCAGAATATATACAAAAGCGGCTGCATGGAAAGAGTAGAAATTGGCAAATTTCTTTTCACACAGACCAAATTCCCTGGTATGTTATCTGTCTATTTGTCCATTTTCTACTCTTTACGGCCGCTTCCTGAAGCCTGGTAGAGGCTAACGTTCAGTATCCTAGGCATATGAGTAACATGAAAGTATCGTTTTTGTTAGAAGGACATGTTGAGACAATGCCAAAAGACAGACGGTGGCCAATGCTAGGTAACTATCTTAACCTGTCAAACATGCCCAAGTGATTATACGTGCTGAAACATTTGGATGTGACATTTCTTATACAGTATTGTGAAATGAAAAATGATATTGACGTATTCTCACAAACACACTTATAGCAAACATTTGTGCACCTAACCTTATAGATTTAACTATCAACACCTGGATTTTCTATATTCATGTATAACAGCTGACAACTTCAAACAAGCTTCATGAGACGCATGTAATATTTATACATGGGATAGATATATATTTACTTTTTGAATTGTTCTCTAGTCCATTTTACAAGGTTGACGTTATACATTGTCTATTGATGAGCTTAAATTCACAAATAAGTACAGCTATTTACATGCTATCACTGGGCCTCAACATTTCAAGAAAATACAATCGTTTTCGAATATAGTAGAGTAAACAATGCTAAGAAACGCTCCATATCCAGACCCTCAAATGCTTTTGTGAAATTTCACAAAAGCATCACTTTGGGTGAGCAAAGCATTTCTTAACACCGTTTACCACGTATTTCTACAATCTGTCACCGGCCTAGCTTGCGCAGTGGACATGTTTAGCCTGGTTACCAGACATATTATAGCTCCTGAATCCTACATCCAATTTGCGGAGAGGATGTAGGACTCGGGAGCTACAATAGGTCCGGTAACTAGGCTAGGACATGTTGGCGCTAGTCGACGTCCACGGGCGTCATGCTGGTGGGGTATGCCTACTGCGCAACTGGTGTGACTCTTGTCTTGGAGGCCCACTGTTTGCTGTAGTCTTTGTTCTTCTTTCTGTTGAGGTAGGAAAGAAAACAGGCTTATTTTCATGGATATTTTTCTCCTCATGTCATGACAATGTGCTTTTATTTATGTCAAATGTCGTGTGCATTGCCAATCATATTGCTAAGGATGACGACTTGTTTGTTTATCAGAAATGTCATTATTTCTACACTTTTTTAATGTAATCGTGTACATGTATTTCTAAACAGTTATCGCTTGTCAAAGTTGCCACAATATTATCATGCCCGGCTCGAATAATTTCATTCGATATATCAAAGCTATATGTATAGTCTGATGAAGAACGTGTGATGAACTCATTTCATAGAAAGTGGTGGACTAAATGTCATGTTACCAAAACGAAGGGTAAATATTTAACCTTAAATCTTTATGTTTCTTCTGATTCTAGCCTTTTGAGTCTGCACTTTATGAAGCAAGTTTTGGTTGCAGAAAGTCTGTGGCGCCCCCCCCCCCCGTCTGTATTGAGGAGTCACGTGTGTTATCTGCGTGACGTCACGGAAGCGGCGGATTGCTCATTCTTTGACAAAGACTGGAGTTGTACAGTTGAAAATTTGGGTGAGTCCAATTTTGTTGGAAATTACGGTTTAAACTTGCCTCATAATGACTTCTATCAACACAGAT